AAAAACGCTCTCCCTTGCTGGCCGACAGGTGTTAGCCCAATCTGTTCTTTCGACGATTCCATACTATTCAATGCAATCCATGCCTCTACCAGTTGGGATCATTGACTCCATTGAGAAACAGATTCGAGGTTTCTTGTGGGACAGCTCAGAAGGCTCACGGAAAATTCACTTGGTCAGTTGGGATGATATCACTCAAAGCAAACAATGTGGTGGTCTTGGCATTCGGAGATTAAGGGAAATGAACCAAGCGTTCTTAGCAAAACTTGGCTGGAGAATGATACATGAAAAAGATAATCTGTGGGTTCGTTTGATGAGATCAAAATACTCAGTTAACAGCGACGATGTGTTACTTTGGCAACCAAAAAGAAACATGTCCCCCATCTGGAAAGGTATTCTTAGCTCCAAACATATCCTCCAGGATGGCATCAAGAGAGTAGTACACAATGGTATGAACACTCTTTTTTGGATCGACAAATGGTTGGACAGCTTCCCTCTAAGACTTCGCCTTTTAGAAGCAATTCCCCTACCCGAATTATACAGATCAGTTTCTAGTTACTGGGACCCCATTTTTGGGTGGCGATGGAACCAGTTCAGTAGCTTCCTTCCAGAAGACATTTTAGAACAATTGACGGCAGTAATAATCAACAATGATCCAGAGGATAATGATTCGCTAGGATGACGCCATGAACCCTCTGGTAAGTTTTCCACCAGTTCTGCGTATGATGCTGCTTTGAGACCTCCTACTATGGCTAATGATGTCAAGTGGAAGAGTATCTGGAAACTAAAAGTTCCCAACAAGATTTGTATTTTCATTTGGACTGCGATGCATGGAAAAATATTGACTAACAGCAATAGATATAAGAGGGGTCTCTCCGAATGCGACAAATGCATCCGCTGTCCAACCAAGACGGAGGACACACAACATGTGCTCCGGTATTGTCCAGCAGCTAAGGAGGTTCTGGAAATTGTCCTCCCTTATCTTTCGATGGATCCAAACTTGCCTTTTGAAGATTGGATGACGTTTGGCATCAGGAAAAGCAGTGGAAGCACCCATCCCTCTAACAGATCAACCCTCTTTGCTACCAGCTTATGGTGGATTTGGAGGTGGAGGAACGACGCGGTCTTCAACAATCAGGAGAAATCACTGTCCTACAAAGTTGAATGGATCCAAACACAAGCCCAAGAAGCATCTAAAGCATTTAGGAAAACCAGAACACCCCCCCCCCCCCTAAGTTCATGGTCTAAACTCTGTTAGACGAAACCACCAGCTGGAATTATTAAAATCAACATTGATGCCTCTGTTGATCTCAAGACTAGCAGAGCAGGCTGCGGAGGAGTCGCTAGAGACGAGTCAGGTACGTGGTCGGCCGGCTTCACATACAGCATCGGTATCTGCCCTCCATTAGTAGCTGAGGCTTGGGCTCTACTAAAGGGCATACAACTGGAAAAACACCTAGACTTCAGGGATGTGATATTCGAAACTGATTCAAAGGAGTTCTCTGAAAGTGTTGCTGAGAATCAATCATCAAACAGCATTATTCAGAACCTTATAGCGACTTGCATCCGTGAGTCAAGAACCTTCCATACTTGGCGTGTACTCCCAATCCTCCGTGAGCAGAATTCCGTAGCAGATGCACTGGCAACTATCGCCAAGACCCTTCCCAAAGGAATCCACATCTTCAACAGTCCACCAGATGAGTTCTTAGGCATCCTACAAGACGACATGGATAGTATACCAACCTGGCGCCAACATGTTAATAGCTAGGCTTTATTTTTGGGTTTCCCCCTTCCTTATGATATAAAAAAAAAAAAAAAAAATTAATCCGAGAAAGAAAAAAAAAATTAACGGTGCATAATCCTAACATAACACATGCAAGTACAAAACTGCCTAAGTACCAATGAAGCTAATGAATTCAAAAAAAAAAAATGCAATAGTCAATGATAAACTAATTGAAATCTTGAAGTCAATTCAGCTTCTTAAATTAAATCAAATAAAATTACATTAACATTTTTATGTTTTAATACTTAACTATCGAATATTAAAACATTTATTAATTATGTATAATTGGCATAATGTTAAAAAATAGTACTGTTAGCGAACATAGCTTTCGATAAAGTACTCGTTTTTGTATTTGATAAACATTCGTTTATGTTCGTTTATTAAGGTAACGAAGATAAATAAACAAATTTTAAAGCTCGGTTCATAAACGAACGGAGTTTTAACAGTTGTAGGCTCGTTTGCTAAGAGCTCGTGAACAAGCTCGTTTGTGTTCGTTTAATAATGTTCACGAACAAGCTCGCTTAGGATTCGTTTAATAATGTTTACGAATATGTTCATGAACAAGCCATTAAAAGCGCGCACACACACACACACACACACACACACACACACACACACACACACACACACACACACACACACACACACACACACACACATATATATATATATATATATATATATATATATATATATATATATATATATATATATATATAGTTGTTGTGTTGTTTGTTTATGAACATAGATTATTTCTTATTGATGAACGAATTGTGATCATGAACATGAACATGTGTTTGATTATTAAGTGTTCATGAACGTGTTGACGAACATGAACGAACATGTTCAGAAATGTGTTCGAAGACTTTAATGAACACGTCCGTGAACGTGATTGTTAACATTAACAAACACGTGTTTGCGAACGTTAACGAACATTAATGAACGCTTAACAAACGAACATTAACATGATTTTCAAAAACTTAAAAAACAAACACGAACACTCCAAAAATCTTAACAAACAAACACGAACAACCTCAGTTCATTCATGTTCGTTATCAACCCTACTTATCCTTTCCTATTTATCTATCATGTTTATTACGGAGTATTTATTAGTTAAACCAACTCTTTTTTATTTGTTCATTTCTTTAGTAATTTTTTATTATTTTAATTTAATTTTTTTGTATCTAATAATATATTTAATATAAAAATAAATAAATAATAATTTTAATCTTTTTTTGGTATACCTAGGTCTTCCACCATCGGACCCCGTGACTAATTCCCCTCGATTTTCAAAGCCACTTTTACTCCATTCCCAAAGTCAATAATTGAACCCTTGAATGAGTTCCTTTCACTCAATCACACCTTCTAGATTAAAAATTTTTTTAGTCCAATCTTGTTAATTGAACATGAGAGTGATAAGAGTATTAAATTTAGGTGTTATAGTCCGAATCTTAAGTGTAACTCACGCTCCATCAGTGCGTCCGGTATCGACGCCACCGCACGAATAAAAAATTTATTACTCCCTATTTTCCAATTTCCGTAAATTCATTTTACCCTTGTTCTTCTTTCAAAAGCTTGAATTTCCAACTTCAAGGATCCACTTCATATTTGGTAAGATATAAATTAGGGTGAGAATAATAGAATTGCCTATTTTGAAAATAATAATGAGCAAATACCCAAAATGGCCCCTCGACTGTAGCTAAATTTACAAATTGGTCATCGATTTTCAATTTTAACCAATTAAGTCCTTAACTTTACAATTTTAACATAATTTGATCCTCTGTCTATTTACTCAATAATAATCTCACATTATAATTGCTGAAGTTCAAACTTTGATATGATCTTTTCAATATGAGTTAATTCCAGCAATGGTTCTCCGACTATTGCGATTTTCCAAAATTAGTCCTTGTCTTTTAATTTGGACAAAATAGACCCTTGACTATCAGATTTGTTCCAGCATTGGTCCTTCCGTTAGAGATCAGTTAGTTAAGCATTAGTTTAGGGGTTAAAATTGTCTTTTCCTTTTCTTCTTCCTCCCTTGTCCGCCTTCCGTGAGCGACGAGATTTTTTAGTCAAAAGCTCTGGGAAATGGAAGGCGTTAAGATTTGAGAACCTAGGTAACAGCTTATATACATACATCTGGCTTAACAAAACAAATCGGATGACGACTGGTGTGCAACGGCAAGAGGCACCTCCCCTGTCTCCGACGAATAGAACAGCAGTCCGGCGAGGCGGGATCTTGACCGACGACGGGCAACGGCAGCATCAGCTTTGACGAGCACATCTTCTGGCTGCATGGACGTGACAGTGGTTTAGCTTGGAAATTGTAAGGTGAGGCGTTCATGTTTAATGGTGTTTGGTTTAGGCTTTTAACCGATCCACAGAAACTCTATTTTACAATACGACATTGAAGTTGACTATAATAAGGGAAATTTCTTATTTCATCATATCATATTTCTGCAATCTGGGTACACAAAGCTCAGAAACTAGTAATCATATGAAAACAAGCATACAACAAGCGGACAGACAGGGTTCAGATTCTGTAGTTGCAAAGTTACAATAAAATCTAGTTTTCATGACAATTGTCCGACACACAAAATGTGGGGAAGACGAAGAGAATCATCATCAAACAGGTACAGCCGGCCTGATAGTGAGAAACGCCTTCCAGATTCTTTCGACTGTGGCATGCAATGTCGAAAGAGATGTTGTTTACGAGATTCTGCAATTTATGAGAATCAGTAAATTTAGAAGTTGAACAATATAAACTTCAGTCAGATAGTTGCATAGCATCTTGTTAATGAGTAAACTTTTACCTAATTTTAACAGTTTCGTAAATGTTTATTGGTATTAGCTTGTAGGCACTCTTGCGTTTTACTTTTCTTAGTTCAATATGCATAATAATGAACCAACACGGCAATTATACTTACTTGAGCTTTATCCAGCAAATACCGACATAGGGACTCTAAATCAGTAACGGCACTAAATTCAGCTACCTCTACTCCATAGTGAGAGTTGAAGTCAATAAACAGATAGAAAACTTCCTGCAAAAATTGAATGGAGTTAATACAAAGATCAAGGAAGATAAATAGAGATATGTTCACAGATTGGTTTCTCAAGAAGGGAGTGGGGTGGGGGGGAGCATTTTAATACTTGGGAGTAGGAATATACAAAGATCAAGATCAAGTTGATGTTGCCGCTGCCCGTCGTCGGTCAAGATCCTGCCTCGCCGGACTACTGTTCTATTCGTCGGAGACAATGGAGGCCACCGTCGCTGCCTTTTCGTCGCTGCACACCAGTCGTCCACCCTCCAATTTGTTTTGTTAAGGCAGATGTATATAAGTTGTTACCAGGGCTGCAAAAATCCCGCCTAGGCACCGAGTAATCGGCGCCTAGGCGCTAGGCACCCCTAGGCCGTGGCGATTTCCCACCTAGGCCCCCGCCTAGGAGACCAGCCGCCTAGGTTCCCGCCTAGCGCCTAATTCGGCCGCCTAGCGCCTAACTCGGCCGATTACGCCGAGTTAACTCGTCAATTTTTGTCGAGTTAGCCGAGTTAACCCGACCGACTCGACCTTACTAATTTTTTTCATTTATATGACATATATATATATATATATATATATATATATATATATATATATATATATATATATATATATATATATATATATATATATATATATATCACTGTTGAAAAAATCGCGCCTAGGCGCCGATTAATCGGCGCCTAGGCGCTCTAGGCGCCCTAGGCGGTCCCCAGGCGCCTAGAGGGCGCCTAGCGATTGTGTGTGTGTGTGTGTGTGTAATATGACATATATGCACCTACACACGTGCACTGTTTTTCATTTTTTCAGTTAGCCGCTTAGGCCCCCCGCCTAGGCGCTAGGCGCTACTCTACCGCCCGACTAGCGCCTAGCGCCTATTGCAACCATGGCTGTTACTTGAGGTTCTGAAATCTTGACGCCTTCCATTCCCCCAAAGCTTTTACCAGAAAATCTCGTTGCTCACAGAAGGCGGACAAGGGAGGAAGAAGAAAAAGGAAAATACAATTTTAACCCCTAAACTAACGACTATTAAACTGATCTTTAACGGAAGGACTAATACTGGAACAAATCGAATAGTCAAGGGTCTATTTTGTCGAAATTAAAAGACAAGGATTAATTTTGAAAAATTGCAATAGTCGAGGACCATTGCTAGAATTAACTCTTTTCAATATTGTTTACTTGAGTTTAGTTTTCTATGCTGCCGACTCGGCATTCTGACACCCGCCTTCAATAAACATTCACACACTCTTGTCTCCTGTCACCTGCAAACTCTTTCCTTCTTCTCCCTCCTTTTTTTCCAAAGATCCGCCATGAAAGTAGCTGAAGAAGAGCCCAATGGACCCATTACTCTCCTCTCATCGAACACCCACTTCCTTCAATCCCTTGGGGATTCTATTCCTCTTGCCCAAAGTTTCAGGGGAAAATGGGGTTTGATTCGAGCGAAGCTCTCTTCTCTGGACACCCATCTCTCTGAACTATCTTCCTCTGCCGCCGGCGCCAACAGTGCAATCTCCGCCGAGCTACTCCGTTCAGTTTCCGTCGCCCTCTCTGACGCGCTTTGCATTTCCATTCGCTGTCAGAGCTCCACCCCTCACGGCGGGAAGCTCAAGACCCAGAATGACATCGACTCCGTGTCTGCGAAACTCGACAACCTTAACAGGGACCTCGAGGTCTTGAACAGGAGCGCCGTTCTAAACCAAAGCGGCGCTGTTTCGTCGAAGAGGGAGACGGTGAGGGCGGAGTCGAGGAGCCTCATCACTAGGCTCCAGATCGGCACCGTCGAGTCCAAGAACTCTGCCCTCGACTCGCTCCTCGGGCTTTTATACGAGGAAAACAAGAATGTGTTGATCGCCGTGGCACAGGGAATCGTTCCGGTGCTCGTTCGTGTACTGGATTCCACCTCCTCATTGGAGGTGAAGGAGAAAACCGTCGCCGCCGTTGCGAAAATCTCCACCGTCGATTCAAGCAAGCGCGTTTTGATCGCGGAAGGCTCGAGTCTCCTCCACAACCTGCTAAGAGTTGTAGAATCCGGAACCGTTCTAGCCAGAGAAAGTTCCTGCATTGCCCTCCAAACACTCAGCCATAGCAAGGAGAACGCGAGGGCAATAGGGTCCAGAGGAGGGATTTCGTCGCTGTTAGAAATTTGCGAAACGGGGACTCCCCATTGCCAAGCAATGGCAGCTTCCGTGCTAAAAAACTTAGCTATTTTCCCAGAGATTAAGGATCATTTTGTGGAGGGAAACGCGACCATGATCCTCCTAGGCCTGTCGAATTCGGGTACAACGTTGGCGCAAGAGAACGCGATTGCTTGCTTGTCCAATTTAATCTCCGGAGATGATAATCTGAAGATGTTGGTTGCAAAAGAAGGTGGAATTGAAAGCCTACAGAATTTCTGGGATTCCGCCCCGTCAGTTCAGAGTCTGGAATCCCCAATTCAGATGGTGGGATCGTTATCGTCGTGTCCATTTATCGCCGGCGCTATAGTGGAGAACGGTTTTCTTAGCCGCATGGTCGGCGTATTGAGCTGTGGGGTTTTAGGCGTCAGAATTGCGGCGGCGAGAGCTTTGTACGAGATAGCAGCAGGGTACAGTGGTTCCAGAAAACAGTTGGGTGAGATGGGGTGCATTCCGCCGCTAGTGGCAATGCTGGAAGCCAAGGCCACGGCGGAGAAAGATGCCGCCGCCAGAGCGCTCTCCAGTTTGCTGGTTTGCGCCGGAAACCGCCGGATTTTCAAGAAGGAAGAGAAGGGGATAGTGAGTGTGGTCCAGCTTTTGGATCCCGTAACGCATCGGAATGTAGATAAAAGGCACCCTATATCGATATTGTCTTCGCTGGCGCACTCCAAGGAACGGCGGAAGCAAATGGCCGCCGCCGGAGCGAGCGCGCAGCTGCAAAAGCTAGCTGAGATGAATGTTGAAGGCGCCAAAAAGCTCTTGGATTGCCTGGGTAGAAGCAAGCTCTGGGTAGTTTTTAGCAGGCCATAAGGTAGCTCTGTTCATGAATGTAAAATAATGTTTTTTTTTTTCTTTTCTTGAATTCATTTCTGAGTGTAATTTTGACTTTAATTTTCTTAATATGTTCATAGATTGTGATAGAAGATTTTTTTTTTCTTTAAGTATATACTTTTACTTTGATTCATATCCAAACAACAATTTCAGTAATGATTTTAATTGCAATTTACTACCAAACTTAATAGGCAACCAAGGCAAATTATGATGCGCATGGTGCACACGGTTGCAAAACGATGTCGTTTTGACTAAAAACTCGCGTCCCATTTAAAAAAAAATCAGTTTCGATTCTCCTCAACAGCATTATTGTGGATATATAATTATGAATTTATGGATATTTAGTTCATTCATTCTGGATTTTGTGTTATTCATTCATTGTGGATATATAGTTATGAATTTGTGCACAATTACTATATATCCACAAATTCATAATTATATATCCACAATAGTGCTTGATGGTTTTTGGGTTTTCGGGCCCAAGGAGGTCCAACACAACCTTAAGCTGGAGGATACACCTTTCACAAAAAGTCTAGATTTTCAGTGAAGTATGATGCTCAATAGTGCTCTCTATTCCCTCTCCGGGTTTTCTCAATCTGCCCCTTACAAGGTTGGAGGAGCCCTTTTTATAGTGGCTCCTCCTCTACTGACTTAAAGGCTCATGATGGCCGACTTCAAGATTACATTTAATGCGCCGAGCCGTTGGGCGACGTTACGGACTCTGCCAACGGCTCTCTCTGGCCGGTAACTGGCGGACCGAGTCCGACCTTTAATGCCTCAACGGCTCCTTGCCTTAACTGCTCTGAAGGCTCCTTCAACGGCTCTCTGGACCGGGTCCTCTCCTGGGCCGTGCCTGGGCCGACTCCTCGCCCCCGTTCGGCATTGGGCCGTCCTTCCGGTTCTCTGAACTGGGCCTCCTTCTTTGGACCTGGGCCGAGTCCTGGACTCGGCCCATGCATTCCTTCTGGGCCTCTTTTCTTGGGCCGGGGTTCTCACCCCATCAACTAGTCCCTCACTTTTCCATACCCGGTCCGCCAACCTGGGTTTGGAAAAGTAGTAACCGCCTCCTTCTTACCGAATCCGTGCCTTGAATGACCCGGGATTGGCCCAGATTATTCGCTATCTCCCGGATCTCGCGGGACCGTTCTGATTTCCTCGGCCTGGCCTGGCACCTATAAATGACCTTGGCCGTTCTTCTCTTAACTTACTAATTCCTCATGGGTCGCTCACCACTGAAAGGGAAGCAGATTGATTTTGGGTCGCCCCGGCGCCCTTTGCCTTTGAAACGGACTCGGCCTGAGAGGGAGCCTAAAAGGAAGGCTCCCCGTCCGACTCCACAGAGATCACCTGTTGGCGCTGCCTCCATGGCTCTTCATCCGCCGACTCCTGCTCGTCGTGAAGTCACTCCGACTTCTCGCCCTTCTCCTCCTCCGGGGTCTGCTCGAGTAACTTCCCCAGGCGGGACCGTTGTTGACGTGCCTGTCCCAGAGCAGCTGACCTTCCGTATGACCTTTTCTATTCCTCTGGATGACTTGGACGGTCCAGTTACAGGGCTAATGAACGAGGAAGACTTTGCTCGTTATCAGGAGATGTACCCAGACGATGAAGAGCTAGTTGTGCCGCCACTCATGCCGGCGTTCTGGGACTCGCTTTGCCCACCCTCTCCTGGACCATCGGGAGGGTTCTTTGGAAGCAACTCCTCCTCGCCGAGTGAGTGATCTTTGTGAACTGGGGTCGGCCGGATTCTCTAGAGGGGTAGTTCTGTCAGGAGCACTTGCTTACTCTGTAATAAGCTCCTTGTAACCTGCACCTTCTTTATTTTATAATAAAATATTTTCGGCCTTCAGTTTTCATCTTTTTCAGTATATTTAGTGCACTCGTCCGTCTCAATTGTCGAGGAGTCGGCTGTGATGTCGAGTCCTCCCTCCGCTTGACACCTGTAAAATCTCGCTTCCCATGGCGAGCCAGGCTTTTTTCAGTTTAGCGTGCGAATCTCACCCTTCCCGAGCTAATTGGATGGGATTAATCTCTGACAGAGATTCACGCTGCCCATCCAATCCAGCTCAGTTATGTCAGTTACGATTCCCTCCGTGATTTGCGCCTCGGTCGTCGCTCTCTCGAGGCTCTATATAAGGGCTTTTGGTAGCTCTGTGCTTTCTCACCATTTTTCATCTCAAAACCTCAAGCTATGAGTTTCAGGGACGGTGATCGTCGTTGGTCCATCCGTAATAAGGAGCATGCCCGGCAGGAGGAGCTCCGGCGGAAGAGGGCGGCTAGCGGAGGGTACCTGGTGGGCGACTCCGCTTCTGATCCCATCGTGGTGCCTCCTGACATGCTTGATCCGATGGTCGTGGAACCGGAGGAGGACAAGATGGTGCCCATGGTAGAAGATCCAGAGCCAGAGTGGGACCTAGACTGGGAGGCTCCTCCGCTTTTTGGCGTGGCCATGTCACCGAGTGCTCTGGAGAGGCCCCTGCGGATGGTCGTAGATGGGAAGCCTGCTGTGTATCTGGATGAACTGCCCGAGCCCGAGCCTGAGCCGAGTCCGTTGCCTTTCCGCCCCCACTACTACTTGGAGGGTCCGCAGCCGGTGCGTCACGCGGAGGAGGAGGAAGTTAAGCCCTAGGCCTGTCTTTTCTGTGTAATGCTTGTAGCCGAGTCCTCGGCCTTGTACCCCTGTCTTTATGGAATAAAATCTCGTTTTTACTTTTCGGTCCCTGGTTTTTGCGTGTTCCTTTGGCCGACTCTTGGTCGTTATGACCGACTCGTAAACTCTGTCCGACTAAGCCCCGTGGGTGTAGGACTCGGCAAATCCGTCGGCCGACTTGGCAACCTGAAGCTCGTCCGGGCCTCTCTATTTGGCCGGACCCAGCCGGGTCACTTCTAGAAACTTCTAGCGTGATCTGGATGGGCCCCCATAGCTTTTGCCTTGATGAGCCTTTGGCCTGGCAGGCCGGGTCATCGTCACTCAGCCTTGGCCTAGGGCAGACGCGCCGCTTGCAGGCTAGCCCTAGGCCTGAACCGTCGTTCCGCCCATCGAGGCATTAAATGCGGCGTCCCTTCGACGTCTTGTCGCCTCCGATTCCTCCACTACGGAGGTGCCGCGTGGAAGCCTCTTGGACTTCCTTCTCCCTTTAAAAGGTCTTTTCCTTCCATTCTTCTTCTTCAATTCTCCCACCAAGCTTCTGCTCTTTCATCGTCTTCTCAGCCTCAACTCCAATCTGTAAGTAATGCCTTCCTCTTCTCATTCTTCTTCTTCCTCCCGTCGGCCGTCTTTTGACAATCCGGCGGGGACCTCTCCATCATCCTCTTCTTCTTCTTCCGTCGTCCGCCGCCTGGAAATGCCGGCGGGCTTCCAGGCGGTGTCTTCTTCTTCTTTCTTAGCCCCTTCTTCTTCTGGGGCGGCTACTCCGATGAGCCCAGCCCCGTTGACTACGGTGGCGGCTTTTCCGGGCGGCGTTGTACGGCCGCGAGGCAAGTTTGACTTGGTTGTCCGGCCGTCCGGTCTTCCGTCGTCGGCCACAGCGGCGGACCTAGATATGGCCCGCTTTCTGCTTGGCCCTTCGGCCATGGTCGTCGCGGCGGAGAGCCGGCCTATCCACGACCCGCCGGAGGGTTTTGTGGGTATCTATGTGCACTCGGTTGCATTCGGCTTCCGAGTGCCCCCACACCCATTTCTTTCGCTTCTCTTTCGGCATTATAACTTGGTCCCGGGCCAGTTAGTGCCTAACTCTCACCGACTCCTGACCAGCTTCATCAATCTCTGCCATTGGTGGCAGTGCGAGCCAGATTTGGACCTATTCCGGTACCTCTTTACCGTGAACAAGGTCGGCTCTCACTCGCCCGGCTTCATCCAAGTCGCCGCCCGTCCGGGGCGACAACTTTTCGAGGGGTTGTCCGACTCGATAAAAGAGTGGAAGCCCCTTTATTTCTTCGTCCGACCTCGCTCCTCTTCCTTCACCTTTCCGACCCTCTGGCCGGCGACTCTCTTCAAGCCCTGCTCTCGGCGCGCCGTCTTTACGGAGGATGCTGTCATGGGCGGCGACTTCTTGAAGGGCTTCGGGCCGTACTCCGTCAAGTACTGGTCCCGAGTCCGGGCCATGGCCAAGCATGGCCTTCTGCCGGAGGGCGCCGCCACCGTAGGTAGCGTCTTTTTCATCTCTTTCTCGACTTGCTTCTTATTTCCTATGGGAACACTCACGAGTGAGTGAATTTCTTTTACAGGTCCGTACGATTCCGACTCTTCCAGCTCCGGCGAAGCAATCGCACCGACTCCTGAGATGGCAAATAGAGCGGAAAAGATGAGGCGTCGCCTGACGCAACGCTCTACCGGTGCTGCCACTGCGTCCTCTTCTCAGCCGTCGTCGGTGGTTCGACCGACTCCTCCACCTTCCCACAACGTGGTCGACCTCACACCTTCGCCCGTGGTATCGCCCAGTCGGCAGCCGCCTCCTCCCTCTACTGAGAGTCTGAGCTCTAAGCGGCTTGCTGAGCATACGGAGGGGCCGACTCCGAAGAGGATCAGGCTGTGCCACGAGGTGGACGAGGATGCCCAAATCTGGATGGGCAACACCTCCATTCGCAAGTGGTGCAAGGATGTCCTTCTGCCAAAGGACGTGGAGTCGACCCGTGCTCTTGGCGACGGGTTCATCATCGAGGCCTTGCTCCGGCAGTCGTATCGCGTAAGTGTTACCCATTCGGCCTTTCCCTCTGTTTACTCTCTTTTTTTCCCTTTTCCGTTCGACTGACGGTTTGGTGTGCAGGACCTCACCCTCCAGATGGAACTGGGCAATCGGTTCCAGGGCTTTAGGAACGATATGCGGGCCATGACCGCCAAGCAGCGCCAGACGGAGGAAGCTCTCCTGGAAGAGCAGGCGAAGCAGCTCAAGATGGTGGAGGTGCACAACGCCGAGTTGCTGAGGGTCACCCGTCAGTGGGAGGAGGAGAAGGGCAAAGTGGCCACGATCGCCGCGACTTCTGTCGCAGATTATAAGAAGTCGGCGGCCTTCGAGGCGGATGTGCAGGCGGCGGTGGCAGCTCGAAGGAGAGAGGTGGCCAAGGAGTGGCTGGCGACCCCAGAGGGCGATGATTTCCTCCTCGACCTGGGCGAGCGAGATTACCGCCTCGGTTTCCGTGAGGCGCAGATGGAGATTCACGCCACCTTGTTGGCCCGCGACTCTTCGTTCACTCCCGAGAGCTGGGGCCTCAAGCCGGTGCTGGACGCTGAGGGGTCGGCCGCGCTTACTGACCCGGCGACTCTTCCTGCGGCGGCGCCTCCGGAGCTCGCCGAGTCCCTTCTTCAGGCGGAGGGCCCTTCCTCTGTTCCCCTTGCTGGACCATCGGCGGGGGCGCAAGCTGAAGGGGTCGCCGTCGATACCCCTCCCCCCATAGCCTAGGGTCTTTTTAGAATAGACCCTCTTTTGTAAGGGCTGGCCTCCTTATCAGCCGTATTTTAATAAAAATGGCTTTCCCTTCTTTTTTTTTTTTTTACGAAGTTTGTTTTTGGGGCTCTCTTAATATTGGCATTCTTCTAAGGTTTTGAACCTTACTTTTTCCTCGCCGAGTTCCTCAATCGAGGCGACTCTTTTATGCTTCCTCCGAGAAACAATTTGTCTCCCAGCTCTTTCTCCCCGAGTCCCTCAGTCGAGGCGAGAAACAATTTACGCCGAGTTCCTCAATCGGGGGTCGGGGCCCTCGTCTCCTAGCCTCCTTTTGCCGAGTCCCTCAGTCGAGGCGACCCTTTAAGCTTTCTCCGTTCTCAAAAACGGTTTAGGTTCAGTACCCCGTTGTTTCTATATATATATACTTGCCGAGTCCCTCAGTCGAGGCGACCCTTTAGGCTTTTTCTGTTCTCAGAAACGGTTTAGGGTCAGTGCCCCGTTGTTTCTATATATACTTGCCGAGTCCCTCAGTCGAGGCGACCCTTTAGGCTTTTTCTGTTCTCAGAAACGGTTTAGGGTCAGTGCCCCGTTGTTTCTGTATATACTTGCCGAGTCCCTCGGTCGAGGCGACTCCTTTTGGCTTTTTCACGGAAACGTCTAAGGGTCTGGGCCCTTGTTTCCTATCTTTCTCTCGCCGAGTCCCTCAGTCGAGGCGACCCTTTAGGCTTTTTCTGTTCTCAGAAACGGTTTAGGGTCAGTGCCCTGTTGTTTCTATATATATATACTTGCCGAGTCCCTCGGTCGAGGCGACTCCTTTTGGCTTTTTCACGGAAACGTCTAAGGGTCTGGGCCCTTGTTTCCTATCTTTCTCTCGCCGAGTCCCTCAGTCGAGGCGACTCCTTTAGGCTTTTTCTGTTCTCGGAAACGGTTTAGGGTCAGTGCCCCGTTGTTTCTATATATACTTGCCGAGTCCCTCAGTCGAGGCGACTCCTTTTGGCTTTTTCATGGAAACGTCTAAGGGTCTGGGCCCTTGTTTCCTATCTTTCTCTCGCCGAGTCCCTGGGACGATTGGCTGCAATCCACGCACTTTATTCAGATTTCTTGGTATCCTCGATCTCATACATGACCTATCATTGGCTACTGATAAAACCTTTTCAAATGCGTAGCATTCCATATACGATCTATAAGCTTGCCTTCCATGGTCTCTAATTTGTAAGTTCCGGCCTGAACTACAGCCGCGATGCGGTACGGCCCTTCCCACTTGACCGCGAGCTTGCCTCCTTCGGTAGGCTGGCTGGCTTGTCGATCCCGTAGCACTAGGTCGCCAACTTGGAAGGTTCGCGGGCGAGTTCTACGGTCGCGGTATCTTTTCACTGCCTGCTGGTACTCAGCCATTCGCGCACTTGCGGCTTCCCTTCTTTCTTCTAGAAAATTTTTCTCAATCTGCAGGCTCTCCTCATTTGTTGCGTCCGAGTAGGTGCGAACCCGGTGGGTGGGTTCGACCACTTCGACAGGAACCTTGGCCTGAAAGCCGTATGCGAGCGAGAACGGACTCTCTCCCGTCGCTCGCCGCTGGGTAGTGCGATAGGCCCATAGGACTCGATCAAGCTCGTCCGCCCAGTGTCCTCGGACGTCTTCGAGTTTCTTCCGGATCCCATCGACCAAGGTTCGGTTCACATTCTCAACCTGCCCATTTGCTTGGGGGTAGGCCACCGACACCTTGGTATGCTTAATGTCGTGTCGGCGGCAGAATTCGGCGAATGCCTGGCAATCAAACTGTCGCCCATTATCGCTGACGGTGTGCTCGGGCAAACCGAAGCGACAAATCACCTTTTTCCACAGAAAACGTCGACACTGGTACTCGGTGATGGTAGCCAAGGGTTCCGCCTCGACCCACTTGGTGAAGTAATCGATGGCCACGACGCAAAACTTCAATCCTCCCGGGGCGACGGGTAGCGGTCCCAACAGGTCTATTCCCCATTTGGCGAAGGGAATGGCAGTGGTGACCGGCGTATAGAAGGTGGCTGGCCGAGTGTCTTTCCTGGCGAATGCCTGACAAACGCCACATTTGGACATCCGTTCAACACAATCTCGCATCATGGTCGGACAGTAATACCCTTGAACGACCAATTTTCGGGCGAGCGTGTGAGCACCCTGGTGCGCAGCGCAAATGCCTCTGTGGGCTTCATCCATTACCTTTTCGGCCTCAGGCTTAAGTAGGCATTTCAACAGGGGTCCTCCGAACGACTGTTTATACAGGTCTCCGTCAACGATCCGGAAGGAGGGGGCTTTCCGTCGAACCCTCGCAGCGACTGATGGGTCAGCTGGCAACTCGCCCGTTTCCTTGAATCGCTGGATGTCCTCTATCCAGAACATCTCCGGGTTTTTCTCTCGATCCCACCCTTCGATGTTTACTCGCTGGACATCTAGCGGCGCCTCTTCGACACTCGGCCGACTTAGCTCCTCCTTCTGGCAAATCTTTATCAAGCGGTCCGGTACCCCTTCCAGGGCGATCTTTGACAAGATGTCGGCCTCTACATTGTCCGCCCGGGATATGTATTCTATTTCATAAGCTTCAAACCCTTTCAACATCTTGGTGGCGCATTCTTTGTACAACGCCATCCTCGCGTTCTTAGCTTCGCACGTACCAGAGATCTGCCCGACTACCAGTCGGGAGTCGGTTTTGACTCGTAGCCGTTCGACTCCTAGATTCTTGGCGAGTCGAAGGCCGTTCAACACTGCTTCGTACTCGGCCTCGTTATTCGATGCAGAGAACAGGTACCTTAGGGCGTAATACAGCCGAAATCCCTCCGGAGTGATGAGCACAACGCCGCCTCCGCAATGCTGTCGACTTGATGCTCCATCCGCATGCATCTCCCACCATTCGCCCGGATTGCTCTCCGAGGCATGTTACTTCTCCTCCTCACTCGCGGTACACTCGACCAGAAAGTCGGCCAAAGCTTGGCCTTTGATGGAGGGCCTGGGTTGGTACTCGATACCGTATTGAGTCAACTTGACGGCCCACTTTACCAGCCGGCCGGAGGACAAGGGGTTCCGTAGCAC